GAGTCATGGCTGTTAGTGTTGTGGAAACCTCTTTTCACAGAGGTAGCAAAGGAAGAGGTTCTAGTTCACAGCAGAGGCTAAAGTTTCTCATGTTCATTTACAGTTCTTCCTATTGGTCTTAGTCAACCCAGGTGGACGATACATTCATCCACCCTGACTCTAGTGCCAATAGATACATGCATATGCCCTGACTCTACTGCTGCGCTAGGTTATCCGTGAGAACTGGGCACCATACAGAGAGAGGAACCCAATTAATCTATGGATAGGAAAGCAAATTAATCACTCTGCCGGGTTGCTGTAGCTCCAGGCAATGTCTGTTGCATGCTGTACTGAAACTTGAAATTACAATTTTCAGACCTGTACTACGTTCAGGTAATACTGGGGGGGCAGTATTACTTCAATAAAGTTACTGCCTCTTGCTATACATCTGTCTGACTGCAGTTGGTCTAGAACAGTTGACTAGCCTGCATGTTTTCTGGGATGAATATAGAAAGTTAATCATTCTTCTTCTTACCCCACTTATCTTCTTTTTATAAATAGACATACACAAAACAGAAACTAATACAGTTCCTCCTGACTGCTCAGAACTTTCTTCCCAGTGCTTTCCTGCAGCTCTTTCCTGGAAATGGCATGTTTAGTTATAGCTGGTATCCGTGAGCGTTGCATGCATCTGTTCTCCTTAGTTTGTCTCCCTCTCAGAGGAGGCACATTGTCCAGGAACACAGTAGGTGTTTAACTTGTCTAGGTGCCGTTTCAGCATCCCCACTAGGAGGCATATGCCCTGACTCTACTGCTGCGCTAGGTCATCCGTGAGAACTGTAGTCCACTTCTCCAGTTGTTAGGAACCTGGACCAGATCCAATTTTGCCCCAGTGTCTTCTGTCTGCTTACAGGTTCTTATTAAGCCCTTTATAAGCCACAGCTGAAGGTTCCAGAGGCATCTCAGAGCGATCTGGTCTGTAGCTTTGAAAAATAATACATCATATATTGATTAAGAGGAACTGAACAGGTGACATTCCCCTACTACTGCTTCCCAAGAGCAAACAGGAGTTCCTCCTAGGTCCAGTGGAGAACTTGCTGTGACTGGTACCCAGCCATCACTGGGGCTTGACTCTCGATCTGTCTCTGGCCAGTGACTAGGCTACGTGCATGTGGTACTTCTGCAACTTTGAAACCACAGAAAATCTGTATCTGTCCGTAAAGAAAGCTTATGCTTTATCATCCTATCTTGAAAAAGCTTTGAGGATCTGGAGATAACTGATCTTGGGGACAAGAACCGGGGAGCATGCAGAAGGGATTGTTGCAAAGACCCGTGGGATACCAATGGGAGGCCGCTCTAACTTCAGCGTGGACATGCTGTCTAATCTGCCTAGCTTTTATTCACTCAAAGCTCACCTCCTAAGTTTTTCGATGACTCTGACCCAGCATAGTGTCAGTGGGACTTAATGAATTGTCATCTGGTTTCTACAGTTTTGATCTATGCTTCGTCTGGTTTAGTGTATCAAGAACCCGAATCCTTTCAGTACTAATGCTGTGAATGTGTATAGTAGCTGTGAATAGCAGCAATTAACAATATACTAATGATACCTTTAAAAAATATGCTCACATGCTGCAAATGTCGTTTCTTTAACAGGGTACCTGAGTATACTTATAGAGGTTTGACATATCAAACAGCTTGTGTCTCACAAATGTAATGTGATCAGCAGTGATGCCTTGCACTTTTAACCAAGTGCCTTGTATACCAGATGTGTAATTTCAGAAGGAACACTAATTCTGAGAAGTATGGTTTTCCTTTATATAAAGGCATCCAGGATAAGTTTTACTGAAGAGAAGCAATGTAGCTTGCAGCCCGCCAGCATACTGTGTTTTTCTTGTGCAGTACATGTCAAGATTATTCAGAGCAGGCTGTCTCTGAAATGGAGGGGTACAGTGTGCTGCAGGCGTTACACTATGCATTGTTACTTAACATTAGATAGCACACAGCAAAGAAGCCTGCACAGAGGAAACCTGCACTTCATGGGATCACAGGATAATTGAGGGTAGAGGAGTGGAGGCAGTGTCAAGATATCTCTAGTCCAATCCTCTTCTCAAAGCAGGATCAGCTTTGCTGCACCACTACTTAATTTTCCTCATTCCTTACATATAGTTTGAACCTCTCTTGCTGCAGTTTGAGCTGTTACCTCTCAACCTTCTGAGGAGCACCACTGTGAAGAGCCTGGTTCTGTCTTTATAACCTCATTGTAGGTATTGGAAGGATGCTAGTAGATTTCCCGTACGCCTTCTCTTCAGCTTTCTGGTAGTTGCTCATATATGCACAGGCAGAAATCAAGAGGGGAAGATTACAGTAAAACTGCATGTCAGTAATATGGGGAAAGGAGAAAGAATAGTATTAAAGAAACAAAAATAATCTTTAAATTCAACTTTATCCACTTCTTTTTTTTCCAATTTCTAAGCTTGTAAACATTGGACTTCCCTGAGGGAACCAGAGTTTAAACCAAGAAGCGTTTTGTTTGGTTTTAATTCTCTTAAATTTGTTTAACAGTTAGATGCTCTACTAATATAAATTGGTGTAATTCAGTTGATTTTACTTGAGTTACTTTGATTTCAGCTATCTTTCAAGTTTCAATGTTTGTTTTGTAATGTAGTTACTGTGAATTACTGTGAGTATACAGATAATTTCTGTAAGTCAGCCATCATAGTGACCAAATGACTTGAGAATCCCGTGGGGCATTTACTTCTGGTGGTGAATGCTCTTTTTTTTTTTTTGTACAACAAATGGATACTGGCCACCCCCCCATCCCTGATATCTGGTTACCTTAAATGTTTTATTTTATTTTTAGAACTGTTTAGTTGAATGTTGCAGTTGTCCTTACTGGTTAAAGATACAGAAACTAACAAGAAACTGCTAGGGATTTTTAAGTTTCAAATCTGTGCCACCGAAATTATGGAAGCAGCATGTGGTCATGTTCTCCATCTTACTGCATTGCTGTTTATGTTCCTGTGTGTTAGCAAGTAAGTTCCCGAGTCGGGAAATTCTGCCTTTCCAAGAGAATAGCTGCTCTCCTGACAGAGTCAAGTGACTTTAGTGTTTTTCTGAATGAAAATTGAAGTAGTTAGTGGAGGAATATGCAAAGTAATTGATTTTCCATTGTCAGGACGTTGAGGAAACACACAAAAACAAGCACATCAATGCTTCTGTATTGTCCTTTTCTGTTGTCACAGTGAGGTACTAGTCCTTGTATGTACTGTTTATTTCTCTGTAGTACTTTGAGGTGATATGCTTGGAAATTTGCTCTGAAGTTCTGTATTTGCAATGCTGTAATTCTTGGATAATACTTCTAAAGTACTCTTGGATAATCAGTTGGACAATAGAGGTAGAAGTAATGGCATCGTAATTGATTTTTTGTACATTGCAATATTTTAATGCAAATTTGTTTTCCTGTTGCAACAGGTTCCGACTGTAAATCTGTGGCTGGACCAGTTAATTCATCACCTGAGATTAGTTTGAAATGGGAAAGTGGGCCTAGTGCTGTCATACATTCTCTGCTGGCTGTAAAAAATGGTTTTCTTCAGTGTCACGTAGAGAACTTCAGTGCTGAATTTCTAACATCTTCCCTCACAAACATTCAGCATTTTCTAGAAGACGAAACTGTCGCAGAAGTGATGCCTATGAAGATAAAGGTTTCTAATGCAAGGATTAATTTAAAAGTATGTTAACAATGAGCTATTTGGCTGCTCTAAAGAAATTGTGGTTTTGTTTCTTTGATGATAAACTACTAATCTGGATACAGTTAACTTCAAAGAAGCTGCTATCGTACTCTGGCAGGTCTTTAGATAACACTAAAACAATTTAAAAATCCATAGATTTGGTTAGCTTTGTGGTATGCCTAGAGGACAATTCTCTGCATGACCAAGCTATTTATATTAATGTTTTATACTTTTTTCCTCCTCTCCCAGTCTCTTTTGTAGAGTGACAGTGTCTGGGAGTTTTATAGGTGAGGTATACAAAGTTCCTAGAGGCACAAGGTGGGTTTTTCTGGTTGGGCTTTTTTGCTTAGCAGAGTGATGGTTTTCTAGTAACAAAACACAGATTTTAGAGGTTAATTCCCTGTCCTACTTAGAGGATAGTTCTTGCAATGAAAGTTCAGTACAAAAGAAGGAAAAGGTTATGGGAATTCCAATTCAAACCACTTGAATACTGTTTCTTAGAACCCAGATTTCATGTTCTGCCCTACCTAGAAACAGATACTAAATAATGCAAGCTTTTCTCACCACCGTAGCTTAAAATAGTCACATTAAGAGGACGTTCCTGCTCAAGTCTCCTAGGGGATTTTTCTTTCAGACATTTAAAGGAGATGGTGAGTTCTGTGCTGCGTAACCATTGAATATAAAGATAAGGACACTTCTTTTTTTGGGAGTGGGGGAGGGACGCAACGAAAAATGAAACAAATGTAAAGATAATTGTAACGTTGCTTTGGAAGTTTCTAACCATCTATATAAACTTTGAACAAAGTGAGGACTGGAATTGCAGCTCCAGTTCTGCATCTGGGGCTAAGGCCTTGGTTCTGCTAAGATCATTCTTGACTGGAAGGGCAGTTGTTATCTCTGGGGTGTTCTACCCAAAGTACGTCAGTGTTCCCTCCCTCTGTGATGCAGCTTTTCCATCCCCTGAGCATCCTTAGGCACTCCTTTAGGGCCTTTTCTACCACAGGAGTAGCGTAAGCACTTTCTGTAAGAGCTGTGGATCTGTTCCTCAGATTTCGATGGCTCACAAACGTGAATGCCCATATGCAAAAAGGAGAATCTAAACACATAGTCATTTAAATTTGAAACCAGGGTTGTGCTTGTTTATTGGCAAGAAGGCAGACTTAGGGAAAATGTTCTTGAGAAAGTAGCTGTTGGAGGTGGGCAATATACATGAATAAACTGGCAACAGGAGTCTGCTCAGCAGCAAAAGCACTGAAGTGCTCACTCAGCAATGCACGAAAGTCACAGCGAAGTTACTCGTAATGGTTGACAAACTGCAAACTTGACATACGGATGATTCATTTCTATACAGTTGTTGGGTAATAAAGAGCAAGAAGATATGTTTCAAGTTCATGCTTCATTGCCTATTCAATGAAGTATATTCTTCTATTTTTTCTGCATGAGACTTGATGGCAGTGTGTTTCGTGGAGGGGAAGAATTTAAGAAATGTTATTTTATTGTTTCCATTTTCTCCTGCAATCTCAATGCTGTTTCAAGAAACTTGGGCAGTTTATATCTCAACAGCTTTCTTGCTACGTGCTTAATGCTGATATGTATAGTTTCTGATCATACTGGCTGTGTTATTTTGCTTGACAGGGATAATGAACTATAAAGACTTCCTGGGGAGACCCCAAAAGAAGTAATTTGTGAAGTTTCTCTTCTGTTGAGTACAATAATATAACTAAACTGCAGCTGGTGTCATCCCAAACTAAATTCTAAAAAGACAAAATCCGCTGAAGACTGATAGCTGTACCCATTCAATCTTTAAATAGTTCAAGGGGAAATCAGGTACTATAGTGCAGTCTTCTTATCTCTGACTCGGAGAGCTCTTGAGCTGAAGAATGTCTTGAGTTGGGATATAATCTTATTGAGATGTCTGTAAGAGTACTTTGAAGTACTTTAGTTAGACTGTATATATTGAGTTCAGCAGACTTACTCCAGAGATAAATTTGGGTCTTTAATACGATCCCCAGGAAGAAAAAAATGGAGAAAAAGTTTAGTGAAGATCCCATTAGAAAATTCTATTCTGAAATGTTCCTTTTCAAGTTTCATTAAATCCACAAATGTTTAATTAAACATCTTAATTAGCGGTTTTGTTTTCCTGGTAAACTCATTTTTGGATACTTGTGGTTTTTTAGGATGACAGTCCACGTGAAAATCTCAAGGCATCTGAGCTGGTACCCATAAAACTACATATTGACATACTCTGGATAGAAAGGAATGATGATGGCTCTTTTCTCATTAGAGGTTAGTATGTTCCTGCACCTTGACATCTGAATTTTGTAATCTAATTATTGTTAATACTGTTTTTTTTTTTCCTTTGTGCAGACATGTGGCTAATAATGAAAAGATAACTGATGATAATTTGTGTAAGTTGTGTTGCCCTATACTTTAATTCTAAGTGTAGTCACACAGAGGAAAATTACCTTTTTGAATAGTGTATTGGCTGTGATAACAATCCACAGCTGAGTCATTCTGTCAGGAATAACAGTATGTGTGTAATTTCATCAGGATGTGCTTCATTGGTGCATATCACTTGGCCATGCTAAGTCTAAGGTTTCTTTGCTTGGCTACAAACCAAACAAAAGAATTGCCTTTCTTTACAGATTACCAAGGTGGTTACCTGTGGTCTTTGTGTTTTTGTGTTAGGGGTCATAATAAAGAATATTGTAAAACAAAAGACTATTTGAGAAGTACAAGTAGCAGTTTTCAATTCCGTATATTGCAGTGATGTCCTGGCAGCTCATGGCTGGGATTGCACTGAGACTTGTATTTCGAACAGTGATTTAACTTCATACTTTTCATGAAACGTGTATACACTTACAGTTTTTTTTCTTCAAGTATGGGCAAATAGTGAATACTCATAACAAGGCAATACATTTAGAGCTGGAACTTTACTGTTGTCTTTCACAGATATGTCAAAGAATCATAGAGTAATCTAGGTTGGAAGAAGCCTCTAGAGGTCATCTGGTCCTACTCCTTGCTCAAAGCAGGGGCAGATTAGATCAAGTTGCTCAATGCCCTGTCCAGTCAAGTTTTGAGCTTCAAAAAGGTGATACCACAACCTGCCCTAAGTAATCCGTCCCAGTGTTTGACTGTCCTTATGGTTAATTTTTTTGGTAATGTCTAATTGGAATTTCCTTTGTTGCAGCTTGTGTCTATTGCTTCATGTCCTGCCACCTCAAGTCAGAGGTGCTTGAGCGCTTGCCAGGCACCTCAGGGAAGTCTGGTCCATCTTCTCTATACCCCTCAATTAGGTAGTTAGGCAAAGATGGCATGAAGATAACCCCCATAGCCTTCTCATCTTCAGATTTGACAGGTGCATCTCTCAGAGCCCCTCACTTGTACATCACGTGCTCGTGGCCACGATTATCTTGGTGGTCCTCTGCTGTCAGTACCTTTCTCACACTAGGGAAACCAAAATTGGACCCAGTATTCCAGGTGTGGTCTCACTGGTGCTGAGTATAGGGGAATAATAATTTCCCTCATTTGCTTGCTAGTACAGTCTGTATGTGCCTGGTCTTTGCTTTCAGAGCTCACTGCTGACTCCTGGTCAATCTTCTTGTTGAAGGCCTACAGGTCATTTCCTGCAATGTTGCTTTCTGTCCAGTTGGTCCCCAACCTGTAGTGGAGCAAGAGGTCATTTACTCCCAGCTGCAGGACTTCACACTGGCTTCAGCTGAACTTCATGAGGCTCCAGTCAGCCCATTTCTCCAGGTTCCTCTGAAAAACAGCCTTGCCCCTCAGTGTGTGAGTCACTGACCCCTCAATTTGCTGTTGTTCACAAAATTGCAGAGGGTGTACCCACCCTTTCATCCAGGTCCTGAATAAATTAATCCAACAGTGTGCAATGTATTGTATGACTTGGGGAAGAGGAGGCTGCAGGGTGATCTTAGTGCTCCCTTCACCTACCTAATGGGAAGGTGTAGCAAAGATGGACCAGACTTCTCAGAGGTATGCTGTGGCATGATTTGCTTGTATTTTAATTTCTCCACATTATCTAATACATTGTTCGAGTGTTTAAAGATGTTCAATGCATTTTAGTCATCTTTTTATACTAAACATTGGAAGAAATAGTAATTTAGTGAGAAAATACATAGTTTTAAGGTTTGTTTCAGTTCATGTTTTTTCCCTTTTTTGCTGAAGTGCTTTGATCCGTATTCTTGTCCTGGACTGCTCAGGTACAGTAACTTCAAAGGCATAGGTCAAATGCTATCTGCAGTGCAGTGATTTATGTATCTGCAGCACTACATTTATGATGTGTGTGTGGTGGGAGGAGGGGGTACTGAACAGAAAACTCTTGTTTAGAAGGAAATGTTTAAGAAAGAAAAACAACTCAGAGTGGTTTTTTTAGAACCATGACCCTCATTTTTTCCCTTGGTGTACAGCAGTATGTTTTAATAGATGTTACAGTGCACTTCAGTTAAAAATGCTAGAAAGTTTCTTTAATGCCAAGTCATTTAAGTTATTTCCTAATTTAAAAACTTGATCCTGCAGGTTTATCTCACTGTGTCTTCAAATGTAAATGCAGTCTTCAGATCTGATTTGGACCTGGAGACAGTATATTAATAGCAATATTAATAGTTCTCAAACTTCTAATTATTCAGAAAGCATATACTGTGGTGATGATATTGGTCAGTATAAAAATGTGATCATTTTCTTCAAGCTGGAAGCTACGTATTGCTTCTTCTCATGCCTTCTTTCCTTTCTTTCTTCCTCCAAAAGGGTGTATGGCTTTTAATTTTTTTTTTTTTTTTTTTAATTCTTAAATTTGGTTTTGGGAGGTAAACATAAATGTACTTAACATTACAAGTATGTTTGTTTTGGTGGTTTTAATTTTGTGCTGATGAGAATCAAACTTTTTTTAAAAAAAAAAGACTACAAAACCCTCTAAGCACTACTCTTAAGTATCTTTCTGTGATATAGACAATCAAAGAGTAAATGATGTGTCAAAGATGAAGAATTCAAGTAGTGCATTGCAGCAAGCAAGTGGACCTGTTGGACATAAAACACAGGACCAAGCCACGCAGACTACTTGTGAAATTCCCAGACCTTCTAAATCAAGCAGGGATTCAGTTGACTTCCTTAAAAATGAGGTATTAAGAATTACTTTTGATGCTTTTTTTCCCCCTCGAAATTATGTTACAGTCATTGTCATAATTGTTAGATTATCTGAGAGTGGGTTTGCGGGTTACTTCTTTTTAGAAATCTGTTTCAGATGGAAAATATCAATTATGGATGTTATAGTATGGTTCAGTACTTAGGCATGCAAAATGAATTTAATGCTACTTTCTGAATAGGGGAATAGTACACTGCAGACTAATTCTTCTCCTTTACATCAGATAGAGTTTTATGAGGGAGCAAGCCTCTTGTTCTCCCCATCTCCCTCATCCCTGTACAACACAACTGCCAAAGACAAAAGACTAGAATGTTAAGTCAGACCCTTACACATCTATCAATCGTACCTGGATTTTGATTGATGGTGACAGAAACCGCAGATCAATTTGGCTGGTTTTTTCCACTGGGTAAGAATCCATTCCTAGAGCTCAGAACCTGGTGTCATTTCCATTCCACTCCAGAACAGAAATGGCGTAGCTAAAACAATCGAGTGTCTTGCCTTTTGAGCTAATTGCATCAGCTCCTCTCTGTGTTCTACCTCAGTGGCTGGGAATCCGTCGCAATTGACTCAGCCCCAACAAACCTGCACTCAGCAGTGAATGTGAGCATATGGTATTTTAAATGTTACTGTCATGGAAAAAGTTGTCCATATGCAGGAATACTAATAATGCTTTTTTCTGACTCAATCATTTCAGCTGATTGAAGAAAATGAATGTCTCAAGCAGGAACTAGCCAAAGCCAAAATGGCTCTTGCTGAGGTCCAAATGGAAAAAGATGCCCTGCTTCATCGTATAAAGAAGATGAATGTTGATCATCAGTAGGACAGTGTTCTGTTGGTGCAAGGTATCATCAACAGAACTTCAGGTGATGATGGCATCTGAAATACTGTTTGTAGATCGCTGGAAGACGTGGTTATTTTTTTTTGTCACAGACCAAGTTTTCTCATGACAAACAAAATGTTTGTGAACTAGTTACTATTCTGAAATTATCATTAAACATTGTAACTTTTTTCAGCCTATTTTAAACTGAAATGACTTTGGAAAAATCGGTTTATACTGTACTTTATTAATTTACTGAAGAAAAAAATCATCTCATCTACTTTTAATATTATCAAAGGAGATGTTGTTTTTAAAATGTTTTCTGAAAAGTGGATGGCTCAACTATGAAAGAAGGTGCCTAGGTGCATACCTGAGTAAAATGTACCATGCCTCATTAACAAATTGTACCTCTGTTTGTTAAGGTTGTGTTGGCTTATTATTACCACAAGGTATCTATACAGGAGGTCACATTTGCACTATGATGATATGGGCTTGATCCTCTAGAATAGTATAGCTGCTGAAAATTAAAATACCAGCCCTAAACTGGCCCTAAATTCAGTGTAATTTGCCCAGAGAGGATTTTAAGAATAATCCTCTGGTGCTATAGATTTCCATATACCCTTCCTATATGTACTCCTAAAATACCACAGTAAATGCTGGAGAATGTAAGTAAGAGGGCGTACTACTGGGCTTTCCTTCTGCGGGAAGGTCCACTGTATCTGTACAGCTGATGTAATTTAGACATCATTTCACACTTTTTCTTTTCCTCTCTCTGTGATGAGGATATAGCCCTGCAATAGAGTCCGGCCCTTTGTGAAAGGTGAGCTTTGAGCCGTTTTGCGTGCGTGTCTGATTTCTGCACAACTCATCAGACATGCCCAAGGATTCGGTCTAATGTATTTAAATATGTAATATCAATGCTTGTGACGGGGGGGGGAAAGCCTACAGGGATTCGTTAATTGTATATTGCTTTTTTTTTTTTGATAAAAAAGCTGTAGAGAATCATTTAATTACCCAGTGAAATTGTGAGATTACATGAAATGTAATTATACAGTTTAAATCATGGGTGATATGTACAAATTGAACAATAATTTTCAGCTCAAAACTGGTACAGATAAATAAATAGAAAAGCACAACACTGTAAAATAGAGACTATAATAATGTGCTTCTAAACAATTTAGGAAACAACGTACAAAACCCTACATGCCTGTAAGAGATTGTTTTTGCTAGAAGTAAAAATGACTGAATAATTTAACTAGTGACCTTGAATCTGACAACTGAAAATCTTCTAATTGCTACCACAATTATTTCTGCTCCATGGGATGTTTGAGGGAAGTTTTGTTTATAGGTACGCAGACAAATCTCAAAAAGTATTTAGTATCCTGTGGTTTGACTTTGCATATTCAGGCTGTCAAACTAGTTTTAATTAAAATGGTTTTCATTAAAACTTTTTGGAGGACACATAATTTACGCTGCTGAAAATAGTTATTGAAAGTATGTAGATTTTAATGAAGAACTGCGTGGAAGAACTGGTTCAGGCACTATTTTAAAGCCTGCCTTACAAAACCCTAGTTGAAACTCCCTTTAACGCCCATGGAAATTTTTATCTTATTATTCTGAATAAGGTGAAAAAATTTACATACAACTGTTTCTAATAGAGAAACTAAATATTTCTATTTCAAAAGGTATTTAAGACAACACAGTATTAAATATGAGTAGGCCAATTTCACACAAATATCATGTCAGATTCAGGGGAGGAGTTCTCAACGGGTTTAATTCTGACTGGTACTGTTAAAGTCAGTAATTCTTACTCTTACAGGTTTATCCCTGCTAAGATCTAGTTAGAATTATTCTGAGGAAAGGAATGTATAGAGTGCTTAGTAGCATGTTGCTGGAATAATAGATTGAGAATTGTCTAATTTTTAAAAGAAATAAACAGCAATATCAAACGCCTGTCCTTATTACTGCACCAGCTAGTACCTGCTTCTTTTGACGCAAACTAAATGCAAAACAACAACCCAAACCAGCTCAGTACAGATGTTGAAATTCAGGGTGTTGCTCTCTTGCACTTCATTAAAGCTGAATACGTTTCTTTCTACTTCATGGCAGTTTTGCAGTAATGAGGATCATCTGTGGACAGTTCAGAAGAGATCGGTGTGCTTGGTTGTGGACTTGACATTACTGAGAGTGATAGTACTGTGTCACTCTGAAATGAGCTTTGCTATTGAAAAAAGGCAGAGGGAGAGTTAGCTTATTAGTTTGAAAGTACAAAGTTAAACTTAAAAGCCTTAATAGGTGATACTAAAAATAGCTCAGACTAAATAAAAAGGTTTAATTGATTCTCAGGGCTCTGCTAGTGTTCATAACCTCCTTAAATCCTAGCTATGGAATGTGTACCGTCGGTAGAGTCCCTTGAATGAATTACTGTTTTTATTCTGCAAACGACCAAATGGAACAGAGTTTGGAGAATTCAGCGTATACAGAAAACTGACTCCAGAAGCCTTGCAGGAAAGCTGTAACCAAGTTTTATTTTACGTTTTCTGTGGCCACTTAAACTGGCTAGGTGAACACTTGTTCAGCTTGTTTAGAAACACTGTTTTAGTGTCTAATAGAGCTTTCTTTCAAGTTAGCTCACCTTGAAGAGGCTGTGCCCTTTCCCAGGCTAGGGCATTGACTCAGCCTGGCATGCGCTGTTCCGGTTCTCACAGCAACTCTCAGCGTTGCTGGTAGGCACCAGTTTTAAATCAAAATGATGTGGCCTTACAGAATTGCTTACAAAAGGCCCGTTGGAGAGACAGCTTCATAGAGATCATCCCTGTTCTCTGATGTACCTACTCTGGCTTCTTGACAGGAGCTGTTCCAGTCCCTGGATTAAACCCACTGTGGCTGTTGGCACGGGGAACCATGGTGCTAGCTGGGAGGGAACAGCTTTCCCCCCCGCCCCTGTTGCCCAGCTCCTTTATTTCCTGGTCCCATTAGCCACGTCTGTTTGTACTCTGTCTCCCCTAGGAATTGACTTGGAGTCTTAAACTGGAATCATAATTGATCTCTACAGGGTAATTGCTAGCTACAGAACACTTCCTAAGTCTGACATGATATGGTTACCTTTATTCAAAATAAATTCATCCTAAATGTAAGGGGAATACGATAATAAAGGTAAAGACTTTATCAAGCATCTACAATTCCAAGACTACAAAATGTGTGAATGTATTGCAGAAGCAAACTCTTGTACTGACCCGATTTCAGGTAAGTAACAATGGAGAAAGTGTTTTCTATATTAAAAATGTGCTCATACTGGTCTAGTTCTTAAAACATTTGTCACAAAATGCTTGAAGTAGATTTTCAGCTCACTGTTGCTATCTGCAAAATTTAAAGAATACTTCAGATTCCGATTCAGCTGTTGATATAAATCAATGTCTTTGATATAAATCAATGTCTTTTTATCTATTGTGGGAACAGAAAATGACCTTGCTAATACGTTAAGTAGCAAAGAAGTTGTGGGTACTTGCTGTGAAATCCACTAATTCATCCCTCCCAGTAGGGAAACGAGTTTTTTGACAGCCCTGCAGCACAACTTTATCTTTCTTTTTTTCTTCCAACCCGTGCCACTGCACTTTTGCTGACTACCTTTTGAATAGCAGCCCCATTTCCTCTGCCTTAGTGAAGAAGCCCGTCCTTGTGAACCTAGGAGCAGACTTCATAGTGCTGACGCACATCTTTAATGTATTGAGGCGAACATGTGGCTTCAAATGGTGCAGGCCATCCGCACTAACCTGCACTCCGTTTTGTGGTAGTGTACCTCCTGATCTTGTATTACTTACGAACAACATGGAATTTGAAAGCATCAGCAGCGCAAAGATCATGTTAACCAGTATTAAGGGATGCAAAAAATGTGTAGTGAAACACTAGGAACAGTGGTCTTGTGCTGGAGGAACAAAGCTCTGTTTCTCAACCAAATTAAACAAAAGGATAAAGCTTAAGATTGATAGTAAATAGAAGCTGCCTAGTTACAGTGCTATGTATTTTTTAGCATACTTATATAAAATTTAAAACCTCACATTTCTAAAATTATTTTCTCTTTGGAATTTGTTTTAGTGAATTATTTAAATTTGATGGTCTCCTCAATGCATGTAGAGGGCCAAACCTGCTGTCACTTCAGTGAAGTAATTGTGGATTTACGCAAGTTTCGAGCAGCTGAAACTGCTTCATGAGTGTAAGCAAAGGTTAGACGTTATATCTTTGAATTGTGTGGTTACTAATGAAAATCTGCTTATTAGCTATAGTGTATTTTGGATATAAAAATCAGAACAATTTTGATTATGAAAGGTATTTTTGGAACACTTTAAAATTAATATTTTAAAAAAGATTTTTGCAACTTCCAGCTTCTCCAATACTTATAGAACGTCTTGCAAGTTGTGTCATGCTACTTGCTAGCTGAAACAAATTGTAGGAAGTAAATCTTCAAAAGTCAACTAAACCCTTGATAGCCTGTGTTCTCTTCCAAAGTAAGGGGAAACTTCTGCATCCCAAAGAGGTGAATCTCTCATATTGCCAGCTACCTGAAGGAGTAAATATTAACTTTGTTAAAAGGTCATTTTGGTTTTGCCTGTCATTGCCCAAGCCATACCTAACCAGTTACATTAAAGTATCTGTATTTTGTTATTTCTTTGCTATCTCCTGACTTTCTTTTTGTTGCCGTCACTCATTTTAATATGAGCAGAAGTGGAGTATATGTAGTTCCTAAAGCTCTCCCTATGTAATCTCAGTATTAAATCTTAATGTTGTTTAAGAATTTCTGAGAGCATCATTTTGGAAATAGAAATAAGATTCATCACAACTAGGTAAGAAACCATTGAAAATGCTGACTGCTTTGTAAGGTAAATTGAGATAAGGACTAATGCTGTATCCTCTGGGAGAGTAAGGTGGTAGTGTGTGGAGCATAATGCAGGAACTGGTTAATGCAGTCCTTCTAGGTTAGAGTATGTTTGAAACCACCGTGATTTGATTTGAGTTAGAAGATTGGTAAGTAGTTTAAACATTTGACAGAGACTTGAACAAATGAGCCCTTCAGAAGTGGTAGTCTGAGCCAGTAAGGGCTGAATAAAGAAGCAGCCTCTAAACAGCTTATCTGTGGAACAATGTGGATGTCTTCACATTGACTGCAAACCTCAGTACACTATGACCATGGAAGGTGCAACTGTTACAAATACTTTTATCACGGTGTAATTATATTGTTCTAGTAACTGTTGAGGATTTTGAGCACTGGAAAACACTTTGGCAAGGAGAATTGCCATATTGAAGTCTACGACGATTAATGTTTTACTCGTAAGAAAAACAGTGCTTAACCAGCTTTCAGAATCACGAATTTTTCAGCCGTTCTGCTCTCGAGCAGAGCAGAACATGGTGAGCAGCGCTGTC